TAAGTTATAATAATAATAATATATTAGACAAGTACAATAGAGATATTTGTGTGCACAAAAACAGAGAGATAGATATATACATCAGTCTTTGTTCAAAAACAAAAAAGTTATGTACATCACTGTCGGAGTGGAGTAATAGAGAAAGAACCAACGAGAACACAAAGAGAGACGATGCAGAAAAATGAGAGAGAGAGAGAGAGAGAGAGAGAGAGAGAGAGAGAGAAGAGAGAGAGAGAGAGAGAGAGAGAGACTTCGTACCTGGAAAATCCTAGTTCGTTGGAGAAGATTAGAAGACTGATTTAAACTTGTTGGGACTCTAATTTGAAGAATATCAACTTACAAGGTATATATATCTTCTTCTTGAGCAATTTCTGTTTCAATCGAAGTCATATATAACAATTTTCCATTAAATACTTTATCATTTCCCTTTTTTGATTTTTGAATTGAACTCCGCAAAGGCTTGCGCCTCGCTGTCGAAAGCGTGAAAAGTGCATAAAGCGCGACAGGTGCTTACGCCTCTGCGTTTGACACGTACGCATAGCTGGTGTCTCGCCCAAAAAAGAACGCATCTGTGCGTTTTCCGTATGCCTCGCCTCAAGTCGCGCCTCGTATACGCCTTTGAAAACCTTGACAGGAGCAAGGGCTTTTTGATAATCCATTCCATATGTTTGAGTATATCCCTTGGCCATTAGTCTTGCTTTGTATCGTTCGATTGTCCCATCAACCTTCTGCTTAATGGTGAGCACCCACTTACATTCCACTGATTTTTTTCCACTGGGATAGAGACTTACCTTCGCTTGGGGCTTGCATCTCTTCTACCATAGCTCCCTTTCACTTAGGATCATTAGCAACTTCTTTTCAACCCTGTGGGATACACACAGAAGATAGAAACGAAACAAAAGCATGATATACAGGAGACAATGAATCATATGACACAAATTTAGAAATAGGGTGTTGAGTACAAGCCCTAACTCCCTTTCTAAGAACAATAGGAAGGGGGTTTGGGTTTGCAGTGGCTGGGCAGGTTTAATTCTTCCTTGTTGGAGAAGTGGTTATGGAGGTTTGCTTGGGAGAGGGATAAGTTGTGGCATAGGGTGGTGGTTGCAGAGTATGGTGTGGATCATGGTGATTGGAGTACAATGAATGTGGGGGTCTTATGGGTGTGGGTTGTGGAAAGATATTTGGTTGGGAAGGGGGGAGTTTTGGGAACAAGTTTATTTTCTAGTGGGTTCTGGTGTAAGCGTTTGGTTTTGGAAGGATCAGTGGTGTAGTGTGGGAGGTGTTGCAGGATCGGTTCCCGCTGATTTTTCGTCTTGTGATAGATTCGGATGTGGTGGTGGCTTCTTATTTTATTTTTTTTTGGAGGGGAAGGGACGCTGAGGTTGTTGGTGGGATGGTTTGGGATTTTATTCTTCGTCGGTAGGTTCAGGATTGGGAGCTTGGGTAGATGGTGGATTTGCTGGCTTTTCGTTATGGGCTGCCAATTGCAGGTGTGGGGGATGATGTCTTGGTTTGGGGATGGCTAGGTTCAAAGGATATTTTCTCAACTTCTTCTTTTTATCGGGGTTTATGTGGTGTTATGGAGGGAAGTTTCCTTGGCGTCGGATTTGGGTCACAGGTGTTCCTTCTAAAGTCGCTTTCTTTGTGTAGACTGCGGCTTTTGACAGTATTTTGACTATCGATAATCTGGTTTGTTGGCGGCATGTTTTGGTTAATTGGTGTTGTATGTGCTGTGTTACTTTGGAGTCGGTGGACCATTTGGTTTGTTGGCGGCATGCTTTGGTTAATTGGTGTTGTATGTGCTGTGTTACTTTGGAGTCGGTGGACCATTTGCTTGCTCAGTGTCCGGTGGCTTCTTGCTTGTGGGCTCTTATTTTTTCTACTTTTGCGGTGTAGTGGGTTCAGTCGGAAGGAGTGTTAGGGGTTTTGTCGAGTTGGGCAAGGGGTTGGGTGGGGAAGAGGCCTCGAAAGGCTTGGGCTTTGGCTCTTCTATCTTTGATGTGGCTCATTTGGCTGGAGAGGAACCGTCGTATTTTTCAAGAGGTTGTCCGCTCGGTGTATTGGTTGGAATCGAGGTTTCTCCATGTTTTGTGCGGTAGGGTGTCTGTGTAAGTGGATCCAGATTTGTTTACCTTTTTGGGCTTTTTAGATGACATGATTGGTGGATTTGTTTAGTTTTGTTTGTTTTTGTGTGTGGTGTTCCTTTCTTGGGGGTGCCATTTTGTATTCTTTTTCATCTCCTTGATGCTTTAGTTTCTTAATAATATTCTTATTTATTAAAAAAAAAGGGGGGTTAGAGATGCTTTTTTTACTAGCAAATGTGAGTTTTTCCTTCTTCAAACTTTGTAAAAAAATTAAAGATCCAAGTGTTTAAATTGAGTACAAGTGTCAGATACATCCCACACCCTTACTATTGTCATATCCAATGTACATAGGTACTTCAGGGGAAATATAAGAGTTTATGAAACACAATGCACTAACCTATCTTAGAATTTGATTTTATGTGTTTCAAAGCTCACTTCAAAATGTGGTTTCCATTTGTGTCCGCTCAACCGATGCCCTACAATTGGTCAAGCTCTAGTTTTGCATAGCCGCTCACAAAGCAGTCCATAGGCGCACATATAAAGTCCTACAAGGTCTGTTTGTCTAATGCTCTATAGGTGCTCAAGTGCTCTACCTTTGTGTACATGCGCTTGCTCAATATTCTATAGGTGTTCATGCCCTCAAGCTATTGAGAGGTGCACCTGCTTAACACCCTACTGGCACTTGAGGGTTGTCGGCACGAATCCTAATTTTTAATTATTTATTATTATTTTTTTGACCATCTTTCCTTAGTTCATTTAAACAATGATCATTGCATCATTCAAGACGTTTGGATGACTATTTTTAAAGATTTTGGATCTGTTTTCTCTCTCTATATAGTAGCGTTATAACTGTTAAGACTCCATTGATGAAAATCACTTTGTCTTTGATTTGAAACCACACAATATCATTTGATTTCAATTCATTCATCTTGATTGATTAACTTCACCTCTAAACTTTGACAATTTACTTTCAATCCCTTGGTCACTGTGTCGTTTGGGTAATATGGGTTGAAGACGAAGATATTGTTGAAGCTTGTAGTGGACTCAATTGTAGTTAAACATAAGAAGTTACAATTCCTTCAATTTGAGCAGTTTTTGGGTGTTGGGATTGTTGTTTCCCTATAAAATTGGGCTCCTATAGGTTTTTGTGTTAAATCTTATGTCTCATGGTTGATTGCTTTAATTTTGATGAGATTGCTAAAATTGATAGTTCAATTGTCTAATTGATTGACGAATAAAATGCTTAATTAGTGAATGAGTTGTGATTTGTTATTTGTTGAGCAATTGACTTTCAGAGAGAAATGCTAGGAAATGATAAGAAAGGGTGGTGGTGGTGGTTGTGGTTGTGCTCACCGCGATCTTGATTGGCCAGAGTAATAGAGAGAGAGAGAGAGAGAGGTTAGTTGGTGGGGGGTCTTTGAGGAGAAATGTATTAATTTCTTAGTTATGACTCTCCAAGTGGTCATGTGAGCCGCATGTGCTAATTTTCTGTCAATTTTTTTTACGTTGGGTTGCAATTGGACCAATTAAACACATATTACAAAATTTAAGGGGGAATTTATTCTGGTCGAAACTAATAGATCAAATTGGCACAAGCAGTGATTTTTAAGGACCGTTAGTATAATTAGTATTGTTCATTTTTCCATTTTGCCCATGCAGAATGGACACACGAGGAGTATGTGACTATTTTTCATCAAATATTAAAGACAATAATTATTAATTAGACCAAATTGACACAAAATACAAAATTAAAGGGTAATTTACTATAATTTGCCCATATTATTAATATGTAACATGTAAAACTATCGTCCATGAGGAAGGCTAGCAATTTGGACTATGAGGTTTTTGTTTCATATATTGTCATAACTTGCTTACAGAGGAAAAATTTGTACTTATATCATACTGCCATGTACAGTAGCGGGCTGGAAATTATATGCTGAATAAATTCATCCATTTAGATGTAATATCTAAAATTGTGATTCAGATTAGTAAAACTAGAATAAAAGTTATATTTAATAACATGATTTGACAAGAAATCCCTCATTACATAGTTTGGAAATTTTGCAAACTGCTAGCATAAGAAGATTGTGGCGTGGAGGACATGTGTACACTATCTGTATACTTTCACAACCATAAGTTATGTAGTTTTAAATTCCCAATCTCCTCTTACAATGTCAAGGTATGCAAAAATTCAAATGTGTCGACCATTGGAGATTGAAAATTAAATTATTTCTTAAGAAATCAAAAACATAAAAAATTTAATGAAAACAACAGAATTATTAGAGAACGACCTATGAGGATGCTCTGTTGTCTCCATTTTTATTTTATTTTATTGGGAAGGATCTTTAATCTCCCTTCGATTGCCAGGAACATGATACATGAAAGTGATCCTTGAGAAAAGTTAACTAAAGGAAAGGAAAATAATAATATTTAGTTTTCTCACATGCATTGGGTTAAAAAGAAATTTTTAATAACACGGAACTACTTTCCTGCACTGCTATGCATAATCCAGTATAAAATATATGACTAGTTTTGAAGGAAAATATTCCTGTTAAAAAAATGATTATGGTAGGATCCATAACCAAGCACACATGTTATGGAGGAAAATGACTTTCATTATCTTTTTCCTTTTCTTTTCCTGTCAATCAAATGCAGCCTTATGGATCACTGGAGGGGGATTATTCAATGTCAATGTTTTGTGTCTGACCAATCAGTGTATTTGAATCATCATCAATCAAACACAAGTACATAAGGAGTCAATCATTTCAACAATCATATAAACTGTATACAGTTAATACAGCATCTCAGGCATGCAGTTTTTTTCTTTATTGCACAACTTTACATAGATAATTGATTTTTGGTCGATCACAATATGGCAATCTAAAACTGGTTCAATAGATCATTTCACACCAAATCTGATTACTATTATGCTTAGTATTCGTCTTGCAGCGCATCTGTCTCAATGATAAGAAGCCTGATGTCACAATTGAGGGTGGAATATTGAACTGGCTGACATCCATCTAATGTGGTTGACCTCCTTTGCTAATGCAGTTGTAGCCTGGAAAAAATTTCAAGAATATAATGACGGGATCAATATCAGAACAATAGGATTTGGAATTTTATAAGTGGCAATTGATTTTCTAAGGCGGCTTAAACTTTACCCCAACTTCATTGCTTTTGCTGGGGCTTCATTCTTCTGAGACTGTGGCGGGCTTAGCTGGAGACTGATGGGTGCATGGAAGTTGAAACCAAGGAGTCCACGTGAAACATGGGAGCTTCTGTTTGCTTCATTGACACACTCTGCTCCGTAAACCTGAGATGCAAAGCTTCTCCTCAGAACTGGCTAGAGATAAACTTCCAGTTTTCGTGTTAAAGATGATAAAGGGTATATAATTTTCAAATGATATTTTGGAGTTAATATCATTTTTGCAGACCACATACCTTTTTATGCAGTTCTGTATTCTCGTGATGGAGTATGTTTACCTTCTTGTTTAGCTCAATGTTTTCCTGTTGAATGAGGCCCCCCTGTAATCAAATCAATGAAAATCAGCTCCTTTATGTTAGAGAAACTCTTAGCTGAAAACTGAGAATTCTGGCTGTTTTTCCAATAAGACCTTCCGGTTTAGTTCTTTTATTTCATCAGTTAAAATTTGGTCCTGCAGAAAACAATAACTACAGTTAGGAACATTGATACACTTTACATGGGTATCATGTACCTTATGAGAAGCTAAGTATGCATTACCTTTCTCACATGGACACCTTTCAAACTCATTTCCAGTTGATTTTCCAGATTTTGTAAATCTTTGACACCCAAACCAGAAAGTTCTTCTCCCATCAGTTGCCTGCAATTATTTCAGTGCCCACTATTGGCGCATCCTCAAATTTTAATTTCAGCTATATCTTTATTTGTAAGTTATTGGAAATAATTTTCTTCCAGCATAACATAATTCCTTTTTCCTGCCATTCTAAAGCTAACTTCTAATATACTTTGAACTGACAAGCTCCTCCAACATCTTGCTAATGTTTGAAAACTTATACTTGGCATTTCTTTTGAAAATTTAGTGGTTTGTTGTACTGATTTGGAAGATGCCAAAATTTACTTAGTTGTCCTTGTTTGTTTCATACTGTCATTTGTCTCTGGTTCTTTGTCATGTCCATTGACTAATCTTTCTCAAATAGTCTTCAAAACTAGATCTTTTGGTGTACATCTGGTTGGCATAAATCTCCTGCTTTATAATGAATAGATCTATGTTGCACAAGCTTTAATGTAGTTCTGATAAGGCACAATTATTTTGATAGAACATGGATGACAAGATGTTAGAATGGAGTGATTCTACAAAATACATGTCTAAATTTTAAATGTCTGCAGAGGGGTTTATTAGGAGCATGGCCTTCTATGGTGATCAAAACATATTAGTACAAGGTTGCAGATGACAAAGCTTAAAGAGTACTAGAGTAGTATAAAGTTGTAGTCATGGATTTTGTTTAATCTGAATCTAGATATCACAAACCCTCCTTAGGTACTGAAAATATTGTCTGGGAATTACTATAAACAGGTGAGTCTTAGTTGTTGGATTTGTGGCTATAACTCAATAGAAAAGCAGAGGCTTAGATCTCTCTTGGAGACACCATACCACCATTGACATGGATGGCTCTTCCATGGGGTGGTCTGCCTTCTGTGCAAGACCAGTGAAGTCATTAATAATTGCACCATGAATTGCTATGCTGCCTTTAGGCCAATAGCTAGTGATGTTTAAGATTTACAATAATGTGAAAAAATCTTACCTGTGGCTTTCTTGCAAGTACTGCAGCTGTTGCCTCAAACTTTCTGCTTCCCTTTGCCAAAACTAGTAATTATGAAAAAGAAGTTAATTATGTCCAATATAATTTAAGAATGCAGCAGGACCAACATTATTAAATTGAAGCAAAGACTCTTGGGTAGATAGTCTTTATAATGTGCTTAAACCAAACCAAACCAAACCAAACCAAACCAAACCAAGCCACGCTAAGCTTAAGTCCCATCAAATGGGGTCAGCTGCATGAATCTTTCTTCTCCACTCAACTCTATCTAAGGTCATTTCATTAATTAAATTAAAAAGATTCATATTTTTATTTACTAAACTAGTCTACGTCAATCTAGGTCTATCCCTTCCCCTAACACTGTCATCTAGCGTCACTGTATCGCATCTCTTCACTATTGCCTCTGTATGTTAGAGAAACTCTTAGCTGAAAACTGAGAATTCTGGCTGTTTTTCCAATAAGACCTTCCGGTTTAGTTCTTTTATTTCATCAGTTAAAATTTGGTCCTGCAGAAAACAATAACTACAGTTAGGAACATTGATACACTTTACATGGGTATCATGTACCTTATGAGAAGCTAAGTATGCATTACCTTTCTCACATGGACACCTTTCAAACTCATTTCCAGTTGATTTTCCAGATTTTGTAAATCTTTGACACCCAAACCAGAAAGTTCTTCTCCCATCAGTTGCCTGCAATTATTTCAGTGCCCACTATTGGCGCATCCTCAAATTTTAATTTCAGCTATATCTTTATTTGTAAGTTATTGGAAATAATTTTCTTCCAGCATAACATAATTCCTTTTTCCTGCCATTCTAAAGCTAACTTCTAATATACTTTGAACTGACAAGCTCCTCCAACATCTTGCTAATGTTTGAAAACTTATACTTGGCATTTCTTTTGAAAATTTAGTGGTTTGTTGTACTGATTTGGAAGATGCCAAAATTTACTTAGTTGTCCTTGTTTGTTTCATACTGTCATTTGTCTCTGGTTCTTTGTCATGTCCATTGACTAATCTTTCTCAAATAGTCTTCAAAACTAGATCTTTTGGTGTACATCTGGTTGGCATAAATCTCCTGCTTTATAATGAATAGATCTATGTTGCACAAGCTTTAATGTAGTTCTGATAAGGCACAATTATTTTGATAGAACATGGATGACAAGATGTTAGAATGGAGTGATTCTACAAAATACATGTCTAAATTTTAAATGTCTGCAGAGGGGTTTATTAGGAGCATGGCCTTCTATGGTGATCAAAACATATTAGTACAAGGTTGCAGAGGACAAAGCTTAAAGAGTACTAGAGTAGTATAAAGTTGTAGTCATGGATTTTGTTTAATCTGAATCTAGATATCACAAACCCTCCTTAGGTACTGAAAATATTGTCTGGGAATTACAATAAACAGGTGAGTCTTAGTTGTTGGATTTGTGGCCATAACTCAATAGAAAAGCAGAGGCTTAGATCTCTCTTGGAGACACCATACCACCATTGACATGGATGGCTCTTCCATGGGGTGGTCTGCCTTCTGTGCAAGACCAGTGAAGTCATTAATAATTGCACCATGAATTGCTATGCTGCCTTTAGGCCAATAGCTAGTGATGTTTAAGATTTACAATAATGTGAAAAAATCTTACCTGTGGCTTTCTTGCAAGTACTGCAGCTGTTGCCTCAAACTTTCTGCTTCCCTTTGCCAAAACTAGTAATTATGAAAAAGAAGTTAATTATGTCCAACACAATTTAAGAATGCAGCAGGACCAACATTATTAAATTGAAGCAAAGACTCTTGGGTAGATAGTCTTCATAATGTGCTTAAACCAAACCAACCCAAACCAAGCCAAGCCTTAAGTCCCCTCAAATGGGGTCAGCTGTATGAATCTTTCATATCTTTATTTACTAAACTAGTCTACGTCAATCTAGGTCTATCCCTTCCCCTAACACTACCATCTACCGTCACTATATTGCATCTCTTCACTATTGCCTCTGTTGGTCTCCGCTGTATATGACCAAACTATCTCAATCTATTCTCTCTTAACTTAACTTATCTTCTATTGGTACTACTCCCACTCATTTTCGAATATACTCATTCCTAACTCTGTCTTTTCTAGTCTTGCCACACATCCACCTTAGCATCCTCATCTCAGCAACACTCATCTTCTCTACATGTTGTTTCTTAGTTGTCCAACATTTCGTCCCATACAACATCGCTGGTCTAATAACCAACCTATAGAACTTCACTTTTAGTTTAATGGGTACTCGTTTATTGCACAATACTCCAGGCGCACTCTTCCACTTAAGCCATCTCTGTCTTAATTCTGTGAGCCACATTCGCTCCAATCTCCCCAGTCGTCGTGATAATGTGCTTAAACAACTATAAAATAGACTACTAAAACAAAAGGGAACAAAAACAGCTATGGCCTAGAGTGCAATTTGCAATTTCTTTTGGGGGTTCTAATATGGATGAAGAATTATCACAAAATGGAAAAGAAGATTGAGAGCTTGGATAATCCAGTGCTACTAATATATACATATATATATATATATATATATATATATATATTTGTTAAATAACCTATTTGAGCATATTAAACAACCCATCAACTTGAACAATTGCTTGTGAAATCTTATCATGGATGTTTTTAGTGATGAGTTGTTTTTTTGTTTGTTTTTCTTTGATTTGTGTTGACCATGAATGCTTAGCCACTATAGCTTGAGGGCAGCATAATCTTTTTAAATTCCCAAAAGGCAACTTCGTAATTTCATTGTGGATATCTTTTGAATATATTGAATTAAATACTTTGTTCATGCTACTTGTATATTTGGGCAATAGATGGTGCACACCACATAATTACGTAGTTTTGCATACATGTATAAATTAGAAGCCTCAGTTGTAACATCTGTATAAATCAAAATGAGTCTGACTTTATGCATAACAACACTAGTATTGTGGCCACATGTAAAATATGATATTTCAGTTTTCATGTTGCTTTCTCACCCGAAAGTCACATTTAATGATTTTCTTATTATCTTTGTGTGCCTGGGCTATTTGAAAAGCGTTATTGTTATGTTGGTAGTTTTTATTATTGTTTTTGTCTTTAGAGATGAGAGGGGTGATATTGTAACTTTGAATGATTTTGATACAAATACATGGTTTTTGCCATGTTGGATGAGTTAACTATCTCAGCCTAAACAATCTCTCTGTCTCTCTCAACTTTAACTATATGAGGTTAAGATCAAACCCAATCGAACCTCATATGGATAGAAACTTACAGAGAATCATCTAGAGATTGCCAAGAAAGAAAATAGCACAGTTTCTTAGGGCTGATGTCATTAATAACCACGTCTGCATGAGGGAAACATATTGACTTGATCGATTTTCAGATATCCATGTCCACATGAGGGAAACACATCCTCAAGTTTAGGAGTGATTTGATTGAAATTCATTGGTTTTTGTTATTTTTTCGCCAGCATAGTTGTTTGGCTGTGCTTGGTTGTTTATTTGCGACTCCAATTTCGTACTTATGATTAATTAAGATGAGGAGTATGTTAATTGTCACTTATAGTGTAAGGCTGTGAATGTGAAGACTTTTTTCCTAGGGTATTGTTGGGTATTATTTCTGTGATTACACTGTGTTGCCTTATGTGTGGCTATGTTGGATGGAGGGTAGTGATAAAGTCATTGGTAGTGAAGGGAGTCGGTTGAGCTGTGTAGGAGCTCTTGGAATAACCCAACCCTTTAGATTAGTCATGAAATTAGGCATGATCACAGTAGTTACTTGGATAGTTACTTGTATAGGGCGGTAAGCTAGGTCACCTTGACCATTGGATAAGTTAGGTCCCCTTCTTAACCAATGGATATCTGAAAATGATTGGATGCCCACATCTATTCCACCTTGTGTGATTTTGTATCACCATGTGGGATCACTTTATGTGATTTTATACGACGCATGGAGATTTTGTATAGGTTATGCTCGTTTTGTTAGGGACTAAGTTGACATGGTTTCTTTTAGAAATAAGCTTCATCCCGGTGGCTCTTGCATTATGGCAGCGTTATTTTGGCTTATGTGAAGATCATTGGGTTGCTCCGAAGGAGTGCACACATGCTTTTTGTTAGGTTTGAAGGGTTTGGCAGTAACAAGAGAGCCAAAACATTGTGGTCCTGTATTGTTTTAGCTATCTTTTGGATTATTTGGCTAGAGAGAAACGCATGAATCTTTGATGGAAAGGAATCAGATGCAGAGGCTTTGTGGGATAGGACGGGATATTTGGCTTCGTTTTGGGTTTTTGTGTCTCCTTCTTTTGAGGAGTTCTATTTTTCTTGATTTCTAGGGATTGGGCTGCTGTTTGCCATCCTTAGTGCTAGGAGTTTTCTTATTATTTGCGCTTTTTGGGTTTTTGGTTTTTATTTTGTTTTGTGTCTGTTTTGACCTCTATCTGTGTATGAGGACTTCTTGTCCTCTTTCTTGTTTCTTGCTTTTGTTTAATAAAATTCTTTGTTGATGCTCAAAAAAAATCTCAATGGACTAGTGAGCATCCTAACATTCCATGCATTAATCATTCTACACATGGAAATAGAACCTTATTTTTGGTACGGGTGAAAATTGAACCCCATGTCCAAGATGGGAAAGCATAAGCCACTTCCACTGGACTAGGATGGTCTGCTCGTCATGGGAGAGGTATGTAGTAGCCAAATATGAGCACAGATACACCACCTACTGAAACCGCCCTTAAACCACCCAATTGATTGTTTTTAGAGTTTCTCATTCTCAAATTCAAACCATTGCAAGATTATTGCAGAAAATCCTCGTATAAAAATATAAGCATAAATTTATATATTTATAGACATATATAGATATAGGCGCTTTCGTGGCGCTTTCATTCTCAAGGTATTTTGGCTGGAGATGATTTTGCGCTATCTCGCTTCCACATGGAAAATCGGTTACTTGGGGCATGATGGTCTCATGATGTCTATGGAGAACGAGTACAGATCATAAGAGATATGTGCTTGGTTGGAGAGCCACTTGACAAAGACAAGGAAAGTAGAGCGTGAACCACAGAGAAGGGCATGGTTAAGTAGAGAGTGAGTGTCTGCTTGATACTCGGAGATCGAGACTTGGAGGGACTAGGAAGGAGTGATTGGACGAAGTGATGCTTGACTGAGCCTAGGGGTGTCAAGCATGTCTTCAAGTTGAGAGAATGATGTGTTTGGGTGTCTGCTAGGCCCAGTTGAGGGGTGCCTTAAACGCGTCCATTTGAGCAGATAGAGAGATGCCTTAGTAGACCTTTGTGCCTAGGCTTGAGGTTATCGCGTGTACTATCCTCGTTTGGCATGGCTCGATCCTTGAGGGGAGCATGGGAGACACATGATTGGTACAGGGGGTCATCTCATTACTAACACGTTGATCCAAGGCAGTTGGAGATGTAAGCGTGGCAAACACGTCCAGAGGATATAAGATGACATGATGTGCCACTTAGGAGAATTAGATATCTGTACCTATAAGATAATATCAGGGAAATCTATTTGGGCTTACTTATAGAAGGGAAAATGGTAGTTCTTGTCCAACTGTGATTTTGGTTTGAGACTCCATGGATACGTGCTAGGAATTTCAGTCGTCACTAAAATTTATTTTTCCTTTTTTTAACATTTCCTAAACTTGCTATGTGTTTACAGATTGTCTTGACCTCCTGGTTTAGCCATGTTGTTGAGTGAACCGCAAATGTGCATCAAATTACTTGGAGCATATTAACATTATAGTGTTGCATATTCCTGAAAATGGTTAATAGGTATTGCTTTTTACACACGTGTAGTAATTTTGCTTCAACATATCCAAGAACCAATGTTACTTGTGTGGTCATAGGTTCTAATCAATTTTTTTCTGTTTGATATTTTCAAGCGGTGGCTGATATTCTCGTAGAATAAGAAGTAATGTGGTATGTTGCCGTGATTTCTAAGAAATGTTGAGAATCTTGGTTCAGTTACTGGAGAAAATGAAGATAATAAACCAAGCATATGTGTGCTATATATTTGCACAATCAGACTCTTTGAAACATTATATGCATAGGAAAGCTAGGAAAGTCTGTGATTTCAGTGTTTCTAGTGTCCAAATTGTATTTACTTTTAGAAATTCTCCCCGTCAACTGTTGGTTGCTGAATCAGATTATTTAAGATTAGAAACTCAATATGCAGGACCTACGAAACACGGATATGCGACATGATATTGACACACCAACAGGTCAATTTTCAAAAAATGCAAGTCTCGACACACTGTGTTACATGGACTCGGCACTTTGGGGCGAAGTACCCGTGTCGACACGACACGACACGGGTGCGGGTGTGGGATTTGTGTCGGATTCGCCTCTTCTCTCTCGGACACGGCTCTTTACAGACAGCAAAAGAAATGAAAGAAGAGAAAGGAAGAGAGAACCTGGTTGCTGTTGGCTTCGATCATCGATCACGATTAGGGCTCTCACTATTGATCACGATCGTCATCGTCTTCGTCTCGGAGGGCTTCGATCATCTTCGTCACTCTCTTCTCTCACTGCCAATCTCAATCATCTTCGTCCCTCTCTTCGCCTCTGTGCTTCTCTCTCTTCTTCTCGTCTCTGCTTTCCTCTCTCTTTATCTCTCAATCTGTTTTGTTCCCTCTCTCTTCGTCTCTGTTATTGATCATATATATTGATCATATATAATATATATCATATAATTTATATAATTTATAAATTATAATTTTTATCATATATAATAAAATATCTAATTATTATTTCTTAAAATATAGTATAATATCTAATTTTTGTAAATTATTATTCATATTATATTTACATTAACATATAGTATAAATTGCATTAATATAATAATATATAATATTATTCATCCAAAAAAAATTATATAATATAATATATCATAAATAATATAATTTTTATGTCTAAAATATATTTAAAAATCTATTTAACGTATCCCCCTATCCGTATCTAAATTTGGATACATATCCACGTATCCTTAATTTTTAATTTTGAAGTGTCCGACCCCTAGATACGCACCCGCACCCGATACCCGTACCCGAGTCCGTGTAACTTAGCCGATACATAAGGGACACACGCAGTATATTTAGTTTTATATAATTGTGATATGTCATATATATCTTTATTTCATTGAAGGATGATAAAAAAAAAATTGCAACATGACATTAATTCCTAAAGTTCAGAGGAAGAGAGATATATCTACATTGCTTTTCTTTTATCATTCAAATTTATATTATGTTTCATATGTGTCTAAGTGATGGACATGTGTGTCCCCCAAGTGTCCAAATATGTCTAGGTCTAAAAAAGAGTAAAAAAAATTATATGATTCATTTGGATGTGTGTCTGATGAGTGTTGGTGTTGGACACGACACAGAACCTATTTATAAGTGTCTGTTCGTCTTGGTGCAGAACCATCATTGCCTTCCATTCTCATCCAAGAGTTTCCATACAGGGTTTTGAGATATCTTGTTGCCTCTTTTGCTTCTCAATTCCTTTCAATTCGGCAAATTTAGAAGCATTGTGTCACATTTTCTTAGGCATGTGAAATGTGTGACATCTTATTGCCTGCTTTTTTTCTCTTTGAAATACTTTCCTTAAGAAAACCTTATATCTTGGATGCAGGTATCTAGTATGTATCTCAGTGCCTTTTGTTTCACGCTTCAAGGAAACTGCAAAATCATATCATGACTCTATTTCACTCATGTTTTCCCAATTCAAAATAGCCAACATATTCTATTTGTGTAGGAGTCTTGGGGCGAGCTTAAGGTGCTTATGGTAAATTTCATTCCCTTTTAAATCTTGATGAACACATAACTATGCAAGCATATTTTTAGGATCTTGTACATCATGTAAAAACTGAGTTGCTGTTGTTGATAAATGGTTCTTTTATTTACTACTGCTAAATTCTTACCTTTGGGAAGTAACCTCTGATACGTAATGTGTTCACTCTGTGTTAACTGGTGTGAAACGAAACTTCCTGCATCTCTGGGTGAATGCCTTCTTGTAAATGCTTTAAGACACAACTTTCTACTGCTACTGTGACAAACAAACTATTCTTACCTTTGGGAAGTAACCTGTGATAAACACTGTGTTAACTATGTGCTTACTGGTGTGAAACAAAACTTCCTCCATCTTCCTGATGAATTCCTTCTGGCTAATGCTTTAAATTGCAACTTTCTAGTGCTTCTGATTGGTCAAGAAAAACGAACTATCTCTCAATGGAACTATATTGAAACCTGAAACTTGTGGATCCATCAGGAGCTTCTTCTTACAATGTTGTTTTGGGACTTCTGTTCATTCTTCTGCAATTGGAAACACCAGAGCATTAGCTCATTCCTTGCCTCTCAGGAACAGAAATTATATTGAAGACAATTGGTTTTGGGCTCACCTCCAGTGGTCCACAAAAACAACCTTAGCATAATTACTATTGAAATTATGCCTTATCAGTTTAAAACACCAGTTGATGCGTTGGGAGATCGAACATCAATTTTAATCCTTATGTTTGAATTTTCATGGACTCCACCAACAATCTGATTCAGATATGTGCATCAACTTTTTTAGCAAGAATGTATATTCTTGGTAGCTAAGAAGCACGGATATGGACATGTGACACACTACAGGCATGCTGGTATAACAATTTTCAAAAAATGTAGGACACATGGGGGGACACATGAAAAATTTATAGGTTTTATATATTTGTTATGTCATATGTCATATATATAAACATTTCATTCAATAATAATAAAAAAAATCCAACATAACACTAATTTGTCAAGTTTAAAGGAGCGAACGATTGATAGGTATAAATCTACATTGATTTTCTGTTCTCATAGTATCGTAAATTATGTTGCTCAAACTTAAGATGTATTTCATGTGTGTCTAAGCAACGGACACATGTGTCCCCAAGTGTCCGAAGCGTGTCTTGGTCTAAAAAAATTAAAATAATAGGATTCATTAGGATACGTGTCTAACCTGTGTTGGGAAATACGGACATATCACCTTCAGTTAGTAGCTCTTTGTGGTGGTCCTATTTATAGAGGGTCATCTATTCGATCAAGAGTTACTTTCCAGTGTTTTGAATTCAAATGAGGCTGTGATAACACTGTTTAAATTTAAACACAATGCTCTTGTTAAGGCCACAAAAGCTTTGTGTTCGAGGCAGCATTAACCAAATAAACCAAGTTTAGAAAAAAGCCAGAGGTTCCTGCAAGATAGAGAATCACTAGTCCCAGTTGCTAGTCTTTCGTTTGTTCTCTAGGGGAACATCAACAAAGATTTTGGTTCTTTGTGTTTTAGTGAAGGACTTCAAATCGAAAACAGAAGAGTATTATGATAAATCCGGTAGTCTATAGTTTTTAGAATATAATGTAATTTAATTGAATTAAGGGATGAAGAAAATATAAAAGTTGTGCTCTAATAAAGCCCATTGATCATAAAAAATTGCATCTTAGTTACATTTATAAGCCCGAATAAATAGTCTGATGTTACAATGTTGATTTTTTGTTTTATTTTTTGTCAGAGCTTACAACTGTGGATAAACACTTTGACTTTTCAATCTTGATTATCATCATTTTTTCTCACTTTAGCTATAAAAAAAACTCTTATGATGAGTTTCGTTTTATTTGATGTTTCCTATGTAGCAGGCCACCTCTGTGTTTATGAAATTTTATGCCACCTTCACTGCAGTTTTATGATTGTTCTGCACTATTTTTTCATAGCCAAATTGGTCGATAAATTTTATTTCTACACCTTTTGTGTTTCTAATTTCTTGCAGTGCTTTTTTATGGGAAGCTAAAACATCTGATAGATTTCAGCTGCAATAGAATCTTGATTCACTTTATCCTAAAATTTGAAGCTAATTTGGAGCCACCTATCATATCTCTTACAGTGTTCTGGTTGTGATGGTGAATTGCAAACATCAATGAGGAAAATTCTCTTTCAAAGCTATACAAGAATACCCTGGGAGGTTATTTCCTTTGCTTTAGGCAAGCATGCAAGAATGAGCTCGAGGCTAATGATTCTTATTTCATTTGTTCTAGATTTTTTTGGTGCATTCATATATTCTATCAATAGATAGTTTTGAATGCTGCAAATCACTACTCTTTGACCCAATGATACCAATGGGAAGTGATAGCCATTTACTGAGTAGGCACTATTTTAGAGCAATGAATTTGTGGATAAGATGTTTTTGGCATTGTTTAGCTGTTAGATCATATCACCACAGAGAAGTGAATCTCTCGCCATTATCTTGTAGTGTCCTTTTGGGCTTGGTATACTAGCCAGCCATTTTAAGCTTTATTTCATTCAGAACCCCACTTTTTGCCTTTCCTTTTACCTTATTTTATTTCTATTCACAGTTGCACGGCAAAAATGGGAAACATGGACTGGGACAACAATGTCAAAGCTAATGAATGTGATAAGCTTGAAGGGGTATGTAGCTTTGTCACTTCCCGTCACTTGCTTAGAAGGAGGGGGGCGCCTATTAACAAGAAAATAACGTCTGCTGTTCATGAAATCGTTGTCTGTCCTTTTGGTTTAGTATTGTCCCGTATTTTGATCTTCTATGGCTCTCTTGCCTACGAGCTCAACCTTGACAAATTGAATTCACTTGCGTGGAACAGTTGTAATTTCAATTTTGAATATTTCAGGAATCAATTAAGGTTTTCAGGTCTTTTATTTTTCTTCCAATTTTTTCTCCTCCTTGATCAATCTTAGAGAGCGGGACAAACACAAGACAAAAGTTGACCAGGGTCCATCACATCAGAAAAAAAGGTAGCGCATCTAAGAGAATCTCCACCGGCATACTGCCAAAGCCCAAATATAGCAACATGTCATCCAAATTGCTCTTCCAGTGGTCTGCCAAAGCCCATTATAGCTTTTGCTGGCACAAGGTTTGGCAATGCCAAGTTTGCCATCCAATCTTTCTAATTGTGCCCCACCCACCCTTCTATTTAGCTTTCCCAAAAACTCCCTCACAAACTACAACATATTTCATGACCGATAAATTTCTAACCATAAATTACAGAGACCGCAACCCAACAATAAACTCATTTGTTTTTAGAAATAAACCAAACTATAACTTAAAAGTCAAAATTAAAATCCAAAAATTAAAACCACAAGCGGAGATCAGCGAGATTGATGGCTAAGAAAGATGGAGTTGTGATCACCTGCCCTAATTCTGGAGGCACCAGCCTTCTTCAGCCCTCTTCTTAACAATGAAGCTTTCCCTAATGAAGAAGCTTGATCCGTGAAAGAGAAACTTTGGTTCTCAGTCGAGACTGATGCTTTTCTTGGTGTGGATTCAGTGACGGGTGAGACAGAGATGGGGGCGTGACGGGTAAGAGATGGGCTTGTGATAGAGGGATTTGGGCGTGAGAGAGATGCGAGATTTTTTAATGATGGGTGGCCTGGTGTTTTTATATATATATATATATATACAAAGCAATTCACATCACGGCCCAAGAAAAACCAAAGCCAAAAATAAAATCATAGTAAAGCTCAACAAATCAGAGCCAAAAAAATGATATTTGCCAAACGATATCACTTGTACTAGTGGAGCAAGAATGTAAAAAAATAGCAATTTGACACAATAGCTAGCCAAAAAATGGCAATTTGACACAATGCCATTTAAGCAATTATCGTTGGAGACGCTCTAGCACTAGAGGCCTCTAATACAACTTCCTAGGTATCATACCTATCACTACAGAGCCCATAATGCACCCCCCGAGGATTGATCATGGGATGTAGGGGTAGTTGAGATACCTCTTGGTTGTCAAACCAAGGGAGATAGGTAAAGCCACCTATCCAGAGGTGAGATGGCCTCCACGATTTTGCAACCCTATAAAAGGGATTCTTTGCGTACAAAAATATATATCCATTCACCTTCAAATTAGTGTTGTCATTCCCCTTCCGTACCGGATTGTATCAGCCGAAATTTACTGTTCCGACTACAAAAACTCCACACGGTCTTTAGTTTCATTTCAGTCAAAATATTGGACTGTTCCATTCCATCTCATCTCAGAAATTTCGGTGTGTTTTCTGGCGTTTCCAGTCTTCGATGTTGGTTTTCATGTGGTACAAACAAAAATAAAAAATTCTTCAACCAATAGGCAAAGTTTCTTGTATAGATCTGCTTTCGGAGTGGTCTGGTTCCGGTGAAAAAGCAGAAAAGTTGCCTCTTCAAGAAATGACGAGAAAACATAGCTCATTCATGGACGGAAGACTAGATTCACCAAACGATGAGAGCATAGAAAGCTCTGGAAGAGAGGAAAAAATTCAATTCTAATGTGTGATTTTTTCAACTTTATGATGTGATGTGAGATTTTTATGTGTGATATATATACAATAATTAATGTGAGGTGTTTTGAACTTTTAGAACTATGAAAAATTGTTGGTGGAGATTAGTGCCTAAAATGTGAGGGGGAAATCAAGTATTAGAACTACAGTGATCTCCAGCTATCTTGGTGCCTAAAATATAAGCAAGCTGGATTGTGGAGATTAACGATCCTATGAACACTGAATAGGCTTCATAATACTATTAAAGTCCTAACATTGTCAGAGAAACAAGTGTGAGCTTTAATGAAAGCAGGAAGATTATACTTGACATGTGAAATGAAATTTCTAGAGGAGAGATTTGTTGATTGCATCATGAATATTGATTGTTTCAGTGATTATTTTGTTTGTTCTGTTTCATCTTTCATTCATCGAATGCTATCTACTATAGCATTTGTTACCATTTGACCAACAAATTTCTTAATATTAAAGAATTTGAACAAAGGGTAACTTCACTACAACCATGAAAAAAAGGATGCTTCCTAGATTTCACACCTAATTGAATGACAACCACCAATGCAGCAACCTCAGGATTTACTTTACCGAATTATAAAATCAGCTTTGTGGTATTTTTCTTGATTAATTCATCATAGTTGTGAGCAAATCTCCATAATTTAAAGTAAATTTACCACTCTTATCAAATTTTCAAGCACAGTATTGAAGTAATGGTGGACCTATAGTAGTAGTAAGTACCCAAACTTGCTTCATATTGCCTTGAAGAAGAAATAAACAGATTATCCAAACTTGCTTAATAGTGTAGAAGAGAGAAAAAAAAAAAAAAAAACAGAGAAAACAGTGAACACTAATCATCAAAAGACCAATATCAGTTTCCAATGCATTGTCGCAAAATGGTTAAATATTTATCCTAGATTTATCGGTGTTTTTGAAATGACTTTTTTTTTTTGAAAATTCTGTGCCATGAGTGTAAACTCCGAGAAGTTGAGATGTAGTTCTTTCTTTGTTACACTAGTTGATCGATATGCTCTTTCTCAATGCTCGACTATGACACAATTGACATGAAATTATGCATATTGTTTTCTATTTCAAATCGATGTGGTATGATATATATATATATGTAGTTTATAAAAATGGTGATGAAAGCTTGAGGATGTTGCATTTCTCAGACAACTGTTTTTTTTTGAACATACATTTATATTGTTTGGGAACATGTTTTTTGAGTAAGTTTTTGGTTTTTTTAGCTAAAATATGATGTAAAAAAATTAATATGTTTGGGATGACTTTTTAACTTTTTACGAGAAGATTGCAAAAAGTAGAGAGAAAATAAAATATTTGACTTTTTGGTATAGGTTGTTAGTTTTTTGGTTTTTTGAGTAATTTTTTGACTAAAACAATCACTTGCCAAACGAGGCCTAAGGCAAGAAGTAAGCAATTCTTTTGTTTCTGGTGACCTGTTAAATTGTGTGACACATGCTTGTTACTAAAAAAGCTGATGCATTGTAAAAAAGTTGATCTCTTTTTGTGTTAGTATGAAAGTTGATAAGTGGGTCCTTTTCGCTTTTCTTCCTATTGTTAGCTTTTTGCTTTTTTAACCCCTAAAAATCAGACTTTTTTTTTTTTTTTTTTTTTTGGCTTATTTAGTCAAAAACAGCTTTTTTAGAGATAGCCAAACAGGGTGATAGAAAATTTCAGTCTACCCTGAGATGGTCAGAAAACAAAACCATTGCCTACTGCCAGAAGGTGCCGATTTAGCATTATATTACGCACAAGAAAAGAACACAATTTGCAAGGACTAGACACCTGTTTGCCTACAGATTTTGTTGATACGAAGAACTGTGATGTTTATTGCAAGAGGTAGCAAAAAGTCACTTATATATGCCTCTACTGATGCAGGAAATATTGAGGGAAGTTGAAGGGGGTGGTTCGTGGAAAGATTACCTGGACCTCTGAAGCAGGATTCAGCAGTTGACGTTGTTCCTCTTTCAGTTTGTTGTATCGCTCGATTACAGATTTCATGCTGATGAAAAGAAGAGCCAAAAACAACGTTATTGTTTCTCAAATATATGTTGTTTGTGTGTTCATTTGAGCTTATGGTAGGAATTTCAGAAACTAATTCTATGGTGAGAAAAAGTAGAGTCAAAACAATATTATCATACGTGTGCTTGTTTGAGTGAACTTAGAACATGAACAGGATATGATTTTTTTTAGGTGAGGAAGTCATAAAACAAAGGCAATAAAATTTACAAGTTTACAAGGGACATACTCTAGGCACGCACAACAACAAATGAAAAACGATTACATAACCAACATAAACTACTACTGCATCCCCCCTAAGAAAGGGGGGGGGGGATATACAAGAACAACAGAAAACAAAATAACTCAACTCTGTCGATATATCATTTTTGCCTCCAAGTAAACCCTACCATCAGAGATAATAGATGGAAACTTGGGATAAATATGGGCAAAGATGCAAATAAACATCACAAAGCTAATAAAACACAACAGTCACACTCACAAATCAACAACCCTCAAGCCAAATCAAAGATGATAACCAACCCCACATACCCTCAGTTTCTACTGCAGATAAACACATGAAATCCAATAAGCATCCCATTCCTCACAGTCGTAACATCCTAGCCACTAACCAAAGCCATGATGGAGGAAAAAATCTATCTCACGAGAAATCCCAACAGAGTCACATGAAGCTAGCATGATCAGTAACCATAAGCCACGGTCTTGGGAGCTGTAGCGAAAAAACAATAGCCCCACAACAACAAACCAATACGTAGCCAAAAATATCAAGAGAGCAATCATCACATCCCCCAGTCCCTTTCTTAATAGATCACAAGCCTCAAACCCCACGGCAGTGTGCCCTTCGCTCTATATCAGGTGTGGCAATACGATCAATTAGGATGGGTCACATGAAGACAAGAAGCAGTCAAAAAATCGGTAGCTAACCTCCCGTTCATCTCCCAGTCTCTAACTCGACTAGTTATGATTTTATGTTATATCATTGGTGATAAAAAGTAAAACATATAAGCATACATTGTTTAGAAGCCGTTTGTTAATTTCTGAAGTGCAAGCTACTATCTTTTGCACTTTTTGGTTTTGTGCGCATAAATCAAATCAAATTAAGCCTTGTACCTTTGTCTCCGTCGTTTTTAGTGTTTTATCTTTACACAGTTTTAAGTCCAAATATAGAGAGGGTGCTGTATTAGGTAATATGATAGCTAGCTAGTAAAAGTTCTCTTTAAATCCCTTATGAACAAGAATCGTTTTTATCTTCTTTTTTCTTTTGGGTCCATCTCGCTTGTATATAACTCAACATGCTGCTAGAAGTCAGCCCAAACCAGTTGGGATGACACCAATATTCAATATATGTTGTTTTAAATTTATATCTACTTAAACGTTTAAACTTATAAGTGATGAGTTCATTCAACAAGAGATTTTTTTGACTCTTTTTGGTTAAAATTTACAAAAAGATAAAATAGGCTAAAATAGTAAGACAATGTTACATCAAACACATAATCATTTCACTTTTTCTCTTACAAACATCACATCCAATTATAAAAAAATTTAACAATATTTCAAACACAAAAATTTTAACCTATTAAAATAGTTACATATTAAAATAACCTACTAAAATAACTAACTTTCCAAACAAGATCTTAATGTCTAGCTTACTTCTAGGAGGAGGGAATGGGGAAGGGGAGCCGTTAAACACTAGTTGCAAAGGGTGACAAGTTATACAAATTCAAATAAAAAAAGTGATGATAGTGCGGTGAGAGTCAAACCCCTCACCTTTCTTACAAGAGGGGCGGGTGGTAACAATTGGAATAGAAGTTCATTGATTAATATTTTAAGATTCACTTTTTTTGTTTGTTTGTTTGTTTGTTTGTTTTCTTTTGTGTGTGTCTAATATGTAATTCCATTTTTACACAAAAACCAATAATCTCTTCCTAGGAGTCAACCAAACATGTAGCAACATCATGAATCACTCATATTTAGTTTTCAATCTGTTACTCTATAACATTGTATGTGTCCAACTAGAGATACGACACACTCCATCAAGCATGTCAAAAAATTTCTTGCTCTATCGAGAGTTTTGTGCAAGTCTACTAAGATTGGTTATGGGTTGAAAAATTTTCTTACCCCATTAAGAGTTTTGTAGAAATCTACTTAGTTACATATCCAATTTAGGATATCTCACAAACTTTATCTGGTGTATCAAAAAATTTCTTACTTCGTAAGGAGTGTCTATACGAGTTCACTAATATTGGTTTAGCTATGAAACTATTCATACATTGTTAGTTATCGACTTCGATACCATTTGTTAGGTTATCTAAAGAGCCCACAAATGCAAAATAACGACATGACCCTATACGATGGGAAATAATGGAGGAATTCACATGCTTAACATTATGACCTAACATATATTATTTGGAATTTATAAGCAAGAAGAAATCTACTGTCATTTCAAACTATCACACTAATATTACTTTACTCTTTGAATTATCAATTTGAATAATTACTCTCTTAAACTATTGCATTAGTTCACTATACCTCAACCTGTTAATGAAGTTAATATTTTTGACATATTATCACACTTGTTGGAAATACACATAATTAATTGACAGTATTAATTAACTTTGTCCCAAAATATAATGAGACAAATATTCATGCACTATGTAGCAATGCACAATCAATTATTAATAAAATATTCAATAATATAGATGAAATATTAATCAATTGCAACAAACTATTGTCTTTAGATGCAAATAAATTAAGCAAATCACACATAAGAGTTTGTGTGTTAATTGGTGTGATATTTCATTAAAAATTTAACTCCATTGATGTAATTATAGTTTGAGAGGACAAAGTGAAATTTTCCCTAAAGCATTTAAGCTTATAAAAATGGTGAATTCATCTATACTAAATGAAGGCTGAACCTAGTGTCTAAGTTTTTGCTTGTTTCTCCTTATGTCATGTGTTCTTTATTTTTTTATTTTAAGAAAAAATGGATAAATGGGGAGAGTGGGACTCGAACATTGGATTCTTGGTATACTAAAAAAGACTCTTATTACTTGAGTAGTACATAATATACAATAAATATTTTATTTTATTTTTAAATATCGTATTGTGTGTGCCAACTATTAGTCTAATTTATGTTAGGACTCCTTTTTTATTTTTTTATTTTATCCAATATAAAAAATTTCTTCTATATATACTCCAACAAGTTTAAAATGTACATGCATCCATTATTTGTTATGTAAAACAAAAAAATAAAAATAAAAATTGAACAGTCAAAAACTAATCTAATTTAATTTGACTCAAGTTATCTCCTACTTTTTTATTTATTTATTATAATCTAGGTATCTTCTGTTCATCCTAACTCAATTTGACTCGAGTTATCTTGCATTTGGATGTCAAAAATCTTTAGAAGCCTAAAGTTAATGATTAGACAAATCTCTAATACCTTATTAAAATATTCGAACTCGAAATCTTAAATTTTATTTTTTAATTTTTATGGCTTTGCCAACCCTTTAAAGTTAGGAAAAATTTTAGTCTGACATCCCTTTTCAACTTTTACTAGTTGGAGAGGTCCACAATATATTTTTGAGTTAATTACCTAAAAGTCCTATTTACAAATGTTATGGTGACTCAGGTCCTATCTAAGACTTTTTTAAATTAATAAGTCATATTTAGTAAAACTAAGAATATTATCAGTTTTTCTCAATTTTTAAAACTAAGAACATTATCAATTTTACATAACAGTGTTTCAGATAATTGTTTCACTAACTGATAAAAAAAGAGAGTATGAGATTAAATATTTTTGTCCTTCTACTTATTGCTTTGATTTAACTACCCAATAAAATCGAGACTATTATTATTTTTTTTCAATTTTAAAACTAAAAACATTATTAGTTTTTTATTTTAATTTTTTTTTTCAATTTTGCACATCAATATTCCATCATCATGATCATTTATAAACACAAAATTTTCAGTTTTGCACAAAAAAATAATTCAGTTTTTTCAAAATAATTTTTTTTTTTTTGGACATAATTTTTTTTAGTTTTTTTAATTTGAAAGTTAATGTTTTAAAGTTTTGAAAATCAAAATAAATGCCAAATTATCATATTCTTTAATAGATAATCATAAATGATGAACAATCATTATTTGAAGGGAAATTTCGACTATTAAAAATTTAATAGCACTTGAAGGTTCAAAAAATCTTAATTAGTACTTAATGGAGTATAAGTTCATAAATTAGGACTTATGTGTTAATTTTCCTATATATTTTTTTTTTCTATAGTGTAAGGTCCTCAAGTCCATCACCCGTAATTACAGACATCAAATTTCTTCTAAAACCACTCTCTTTCTCTCTTCTCATCATCATCCTCTCCCTTTCTCTAGATAGCAAAGCAAAGCAAAATTAAAGCAACAATGGCTCTATGGATGCACAAATGTTCAGAACCTCTGACCAAAAATGAGATAGCCAACCTTCTATGATTTCGTTGGTCGTTCTAGTGGAATTGATTTCGAGTTGTTCTTTGTTTGTTGATTTCTATTTGATTTGTGTAAAGATTTCAATTTTGCATTAGGTTTTCGATTCTAATTTGTGGTTCGCATTAGGTTTTTGATTTTAATTTGTGATTTGGAGATCACGTTTTTATAATTTTGTTGAGATTTGTGTCTTTGAAACATTAGTCGAGTTGATTTCAAGTTGATTTTGAGTTGATTTCTTATCATAGAGTTGATTTCGAGTTGATTTGCAGTAGACGTGTTCGTTGTTCATTGATTTCGAGTTGATTTGGATAGAAAAAATCACACAGGTGAGTATGTGATTTGGCTAGAGAAAATCAACAAATTTCTTTGGCCATTACACAAAGAAATTTAGCCAAATCTTTTAAAATGTTTACTGTAAAGGTAAAGAAATCCCATGATAGAGAAAATTAACATGCTAGAGAAAATTACATATATTGATTTCAAGTTGATTTGCAGCAGAGACGTTCATTGTTTATTGATTTTGAGTTGATTTGACCAAAGAAAATTACAAGTGGGAGCGTATGATTTGGCCAGAGAATATCAACATTACAAGGGGAAGAAAATCAAATTTTTTTGGTCATTACACAAAAATTTATCCCAATCTTTCAAAATGTTTAGTATAAAGGCGGAGAAATCTCATGACAAAGAAAATTAACATACTAGAGAAAATTATACACACGTAACTAGCTTGAAGAAGAAACTCAAAAGGAGGGTAGTAAGTAAATTCTAAAGAAAATTAACAGGCATAATGAGAATTTCAAAGAAATTTCATATCTCAAAGGGATATTTTAATGCCAGAGAAATTGCAGAGAAAATCAACATGCAAGAGAAATTTCATTTTTACAAATTTCTTTAGCTATTGCATACAAATCTGGTAGTCTAACTTGGTCAGAAAAATTTCAAATGTCAGAGAAATTTCGCGCACACATACACAACTGCCAAAGTTATGTCACACACATATATATATATATATATATATATTTGTTCATATGAGTTTGTTATTATACTCAATTTGACTACTGCAGTGGATAAACTCATATTCAAGAATAAATTTGAGTAAAAACATTTCTATCCTCAATATCTTTTTGTGTATATATTTGTTGAAGGTTGCCTAAAATTTCTCTGTGAAAAGACACAATTTACTCTCGTTTGGTTAAAACACAAAGAAAATTATGAGCAAACCAGAGAAAATTAGTCGAATACATAGAGAAAATTGTCAGCAAATCACAGAGAAATTTATGAATAAATCAGAGAAAATTTAATCCTAGAGAAATTTCAAAATACAGAAAAATAAAGAAATTGAACAAACTAAAGAAATTTCAAACCAAAGAAATCTCAAAATACAAAGAAATTTGTCTGTGTTCTGAAATTTCTCTAAATTAAATTTTTTTTGTGTCGAAAGTTCTCTGAATCGAAATTTCTCTAGAAAAATAGTGAGAGACCCCAAATATTACTATCTTTTATACTATAAAATCTTAATATCAGAAACCTTAAAAAAAATTCTCCCTAAAGTTACATCCATTTGGCTTAACTCCCCAAACACCCTTTTTTTCTCGCAATGGAAAATAATCACCATGTTCACAGGTGATCATCCCAAACATCATCTTTCTCCTGTGAAAGAACCAACATTTGTCACTGTTCTAGAAGCATTTTGCTATGCGACGACCTAAAAAACCTTCGTTATCATCTTTCTTAATTAGGCATAAAAAATTTAAATGAGACTTTTGAAATTATTTGAATGAAATGCAAAATTAATAATTATGTTCAAGTTTAAAACTTTAAATTTGTAAAAAAAATTTAAACTACCAATAGAATCTCTTAGAAAAATTCAAGATTAAAATAGTTCTCCCTAAATTTATTTATAATATTAAGAGTAAATTATGCAAATAGTCCATATAGTTTACACGATGTGTCAATCTGGTCCATGTAGTTTCAATTTGCTCGATTTGTCCCTTAATTTAACGGATTGTGTCATTTTAGTTTAATAAATAACTGTTGTTAAGTTAATTGAACGGAAGGTCAAACAATGTATCAATTTGGTCCATGTACTTTACACGATGTGTCAATTTGGTCCCTGTAATTTCAATTTTCTCGATTTTGACAGGGACTAAATTCACACATTGTGGAAAATATAGAGACCAAATTGATACATTATTTGACATTCCGTTAAATTAACTTAACAACCATTATTTATTAGACTAAAATGACACAATCTGTTAAATTAAGGGGCAAAATCAAACAAATTGAAAGTACGTGAACCAAATTGATACATTGTGTAAACTAAATGGACTATTTACATAATTTTCCCTAATATTAAAATACAAAAAACTGAGACCTCTTATTGAGAAATTACCATGCAACATGATGTATGTGTTGTCTCATATTAAGAATTTGCCTCCTTAAAATCATGTGGGTCCCAACAAAGCAAATCGTTTCTATTATTTCAAGCAAAAATTATTAAGTAATTTTGAAATGTCATATGACATTGCAGTGTTTTTAATAAATAAAAATTTGTAAAATACATTAAGGGGTTGTTTAGAATGTTCTAAATAAGTGTAGTTTTTGACTTTTTATGAAATATAAATTGGGTGTGAGTTGGGTTTGAAGTGATGTAGTAGAAAGGTAATGTAACTTAAATAAGATAATATGACTTAAATAGAATAGTGACTTTTTAACTTTTTGTCTTTTTTATTTTACGACAAATAAGGTCTAAGTATGTCATCTTTGATCTTTCAATTACCAATAAGGGGGATTAACATTGTTTTACCAATAATATTTTTTACTACATTATTACTTTAAAATATATATACATTTAAAATATCACATAATATTTCGAAACTACTGAATAATCATTCTACCTTATTGTACAAATGGTAAATACATTTACATGTTTTGTTCTTGCTTATGTGTTTGCATATATGCAAGTAAAAAGAATACTTTTTTTATGCATTTAGTGTGTTGCATCATGTCTATGTTGTTATTTTATAATTTAAAATTATACTTAATTTATTTTATTTTATTTGATATTTACATCTTTTTAAGAATAAGTTTTTAACGTTAATAGTAATTTTCTAGTTTTTTGGGTTATATCCTATAATATCTCCTAAATATTTGATTTATTGTTGTTTAGTTGTGTACATAAATAAAACTTCAACGTTGATTGAAAACACAAAAAAAACAAGTCTTTCTTCACCTTCTTCTACTTTGTTGGTTTCTTTGAGTATACTATATTAAGTTTACAAGTGAGTACTGGGTAATTTAAGATTTGTGAAATTCACTTTGCTGCACATAAGTAATTTCAAAAGTCGTTATATATTACGTAGTTCCCTCTTACACACAATTCCTTCTGGATTTACAATTATATTTATTGGAAGTGGAAAGATTCTCAAGCAAACCTAGGACTTACTTTGCCACTAGTTTGGGAAAACGAAAAGGATAGAGATAAACAAATGGGTAATACTAAGAATATTAAATTTTTTACTAAATAAATGATCAAATGTCTCACATGATTCTACACCCATGTAAGATATTTGGTCATTTATTTAGTAGAAAATTTGGGACCTATAACATTTTCCTAAACAAATTAATTTACCAACTTTTTAATCAGTTACTTATATTTGTGTAGATTTTACACATGTGAGTCGATAAAAAAAAATTATAGATTAATTGTATCTGCAACAAAACTAACAGAAAAATAAGAGAAAAATCTAAGTAAAGAACCTTAGTAAAGTATAATTCCTAAGCACCACTTTTTCTGCACTTACATGTTCGAGCATTCTTAACTAAAATTGGTACAAGGAAGAACCAAATTAAGGTATAAATCCTTTTCAACATATTCATGGTTAGTTATTTTATTTTCAATAATGTCCATTCCTTTCCAAGAAAGAGAACTTGGATGATTTTGATCATTTCTATTTCTTTTCACAAGGTTACACTTGCAATCATGAAAATTTAAAATAAAAAAGTATATAAATACTATGCCATTATAAGTTCTAAAACTTTCTTCTGAATTTTTAAGAAACATTGATCACGAAATGAAAATCTTTATTCCATACATGAAAAACTTCGTAGAAATTTTATGTAGATTCCTTCCTCAAATTGGTGCAATCAATTGCAATATCTATGCTTCAAATAGACACAATCATATGAATAATTATTTTGAGGAAAATCTCAATTCTTCTCAGTGAAAAGAGAACTTTGATTTCAACTCCAAAAAAATCCACTTTTAAATCCTTCAGTGGCACCATCTAATCTTCAAACATAAACCGTTCATGGCACCCTAGTATCTATGCTGCAGAAGTGCCATATTAGGCATACATCTAAACATCCTAAGCTAAATCTACCCTATGAAATCTTATATATCTTTGTGAACACATGATATGATGAGATTCATTAGTTTCTCTATCCAACATTAGACGCATGATCAACTTCAATATATATATACTACTTTATTAGACCCCATTTTACTCTTCAAAATCTACTCAAAATTTGTTGACTAAAACATATATTATTTGGGTAAATAGAGGAAGAAAAGTCTCAAGTTTTTATTTGTATTTTTATAAAGGTTCAATTCACTAATTTGAATCCACATACCATAATGGGGTAAAGTAGCTAGCTAGGTCATATAAACTTCATATATGAGAGAGAGAGAGAGAGAGAGAGATTATGGGAATTAATCAAACCTGGTGCTTGCATAGTCATAAAGCTTGCCAGTGCTTGAAAAGATAATTAGTCCAACTTCAGCGTCGCAAAGGATCGATAGCTCCTTAGCCTTTTTGAGCAATCCATTTCTTCGCTTAGAGAAAGTCACTTGCCTGCTTGATGAATTATCGATCCTTCGAATCACAATCTTTCCTCTTCCCATCTTCACTTCTCTGTTATTTTTAGGGTTTTCTTCTCTCCAAAACCTCTCTCTCCTAGATCCACAAAATCAAATCACAAACAAACAACAACAACAAATCATGAGAATAATACAAGAAAATAAACCATAATAACCACCTAAATTATAGAAAGGTCAGTAAACAACAAAGATCAAAGTAGAAACTACATATATAGAAATAGCAAGCAAAAATGAAAAAATAAAAAACAAAAAGAAAGAAAAAGACAAGAATTAATAAAGGAGACTCATATACAGAACTTACTAATTAGAGCTGTGATTGAGGACTAGAGAGAGAGAGAGATAGAGAGAGAGAGAGAGTTCTTTTGGAGAAATGTTAATGAAGCAATACTTTTCTTTATATGGAAACTAAACAAGAAAGTGGCTTCAAGAAAAAACATGGAGCGTTTCTGTGCAACCAAAAGTCACTTTACCATTTTTTCTGTTTAAAGATTCAGCAAATCAGAAACACCCATACTAACGCGAGTATATATAAGAAAGTATTATACTCGCGATTTAATGATGACACTTGTCGATACAGACCAAACGAAGGGTTGTTGACGGACGAGAGGAGACTAGGTTGGCGAGCAATAGACACACGTCGAGTACAAAAAAAAACCAGTCTTGGTTTTGTACTCGAGCGAGTGGGGGATATGATATGAGTTCCTCGTACCGTGTTTGGGTGTGGAAGTAGTTAATAATTTTTTTTTCTTCAGAATTTTGATGGTGCTGTCTAAGTCTAACGTATAGATCACTGACATGTGCTTTCCTTTTTTGCCCACCTCGGACGTTTTTATTTTGGAAATGTTTGAGAAGCCTAAAAAAAAATTAAAAAAACAATACTTACAATTATGTGACAAAATATATATTTTTGTTTTGTTATATATTTAAATTCTGTTTGTTTAACTATATGAGTAAGGGACTGGATTACTAATGAAAGAGGACTACATAGAGAGTGTTTGCTTGTTGAAGGTTGTGATTTGATTAATACTTCAAGGTCATGTTTGTTTGGGTGGACATGAGTTTGGGATTGGACTAATAGTCTAATAAAATTATTAATCTAACGTTTGGTTAAACAATTGAAGTACGGACTAATTATTTTAAACTTAACTATTAGTTAAGATATGATACATAATCCAACGGATTCGTAGTCGTAGGACTATTAGTCATGGGAATACTAATCCAATCCGCCCAAACAAACATGGCCCAAAGGGACTAGTAATCCTTCTTATTGGTTAGACTAGTATGGAAAGAAAATATATGAGATTAGAAATATAGTGATGAGATTAATGGATTAAAATATTTTTAATACTATTTTTTCAAATAATTTATTCGTGAAAGAAATATTTTAAAATTTTAATATATACTAAAAAATATGATTTTTTTATGGAAAATTTACCCATAAGTCCTAGTTTCTGAAAAGTTGAACCATTTAGTCCTAAAAGTTTTCTTATGCTCCATTTAGTCCCATTTGCACATCAATCTAATATTTGAAATATTAATCTGATGTTCGAAATCTAATGTTCGAAACATTAATCTGATGTTCGAAATCTAATGTTCGAAACATTAATATGATGTTTGAAACATTGTAATGGGACCTTTCAGTCTATAAGAAAACTTTTAGGACTAAACAGGGTATAAGTTATTAATTTGGGATTTATTAGTACATCCCCTTTTTTTATTTATATTTTGTGAATTTTTAAATGATTTTTATACAAAATTTATATTTTTTTAAGCGTCTCTAGATTAAGTGGACTTAAAAGTACAAAATAATTATAATTACAATATTAAAAACAATACTAAAAGTTAAAAAAAATATTAATTTTATGGGCAAATTACATATATTCCCTCGAGGTTTAGCTAAATTACAGATACTCCCCTGAGGTTTGAGAAATTACAGATACCTCCCTGAAGGTTTTATTTTCATAACAAATTCTGGAGTAATTTGTTATGAAAATATAAACCTCAGTGGGCAATTTGTTATGAAAATACAAACCTCAGGGGGGTATCTGTAATTTCTCAAACCTCAAGGGGTATCTGTAATTTAGCTAAATCTCGAGGGAGGTATATGTAATTTGCCCTAATTTGATCTATAGTATTACTAATCTGGTGATATACAAACAATTGTTCTTTATCTTACATTTTTAATCTAAGACTACCACACCAATAATCTGCTCACTTACTCTCATCATACTCTTAATCCCATACGGAGCCAAACAAACGAGGCCTTAATGATGGTGCGCCCAACTCTAACACCACATCATTATGGGTAAATTTGTGAGTATAAATATGTGACTTTCTAGCATTATTCTTTTATTTTTGGGCCTGGCCTTCTCTTAACTAGATATGGCCAAACCTATTGTTCGGACTCATAGAATCCATTACTGATATCATTCTTATAATTTGAATCATTTATTTTATTATTCAAATTTGTAAGATTTATCATTGGTCTTATTTTTATATTGAACTACGTTTTATAAATTTTTTATGTATATTATTTATAAAAATAATTAAATCGATTCAATAACCGTAACATATTTAATTTATTTCATTTGTCACAAAAAAATATAGTCTATTTTTAAAAACATTCTTATCGTACAATTTTTTAAAAACAAATGTGACAGATTGAATATATTATAATTGTTAGATTGATTTAATTTTTTATGTAAATATATACAATAAATTTTTAAAATGAACAATTTAAATTTTCAAAATATAATGCATAAGGAGTATCACGTACCCAATAAAACCCTTCAGTTCATATCACGTGTCGGAGGAAATCCATCGCGGAAAATTTGATTTGAGAAAATTCCACTACTTTCTTGGGAAAATAAGAGAGAGAAAATTGCTCCATTCTCTTTTCTTTCTAAAATTGACATCACACGTACACACTGCGTCAAACTTTTGCATTTACTATCTTTTTGCGGAAAAATGGATTGAGAAAATTGTACACTTTCTTTGGAAAATTGGAGACAGAAAATTCTTCCATTTTCTTTTCTTTCTGAAATTGACTTGTCACATATACACACTGCGTCAAACTTTTGCATTTACCGGGTGCCCAAGTTACCTTTTCTTTGTTTTCTAGTCCCTTGGACTATCATAACCAACTTAATATTTTTTAAAAATAAAATAAATTGAAAACTACATAACTTTGTTCACACTAGCTTGTGCATAAACTTATTTGGATTATTCCATTGACCTAGTAAAATATTTCACCTAGTAGAAACCTGTGATTCCTATAATTTGTTTAAGTTCGGATCTTTTAAAGTGATTTTAGAAATGATTTTTTGATGACCAAAATTTAATTTTACAAAAATTGAAAGTACAATAATCAAAAGTCGAGAATACAATAGTCATTAAAATGTTCACTATAGAAAAAAATTACTCTATAGGATCCAGACTCAATTCGTTTAGTGTGTTTAGTCCTTGTAGTTTTAGTTGTATCATTATTTTTTTTTTTATATTGTATCAATATAGTTTAATTAATACCGTTTGTTAAAAAATTGATAAATCAAGGACAAAGTTGTTTATTCAAAAATAAATGAACCATTTTAAATTGAGTGATTTTATTTACACTATGAAAACATTTCATTGCACCCTTATTTTTTTTTTTGGAGGGGATAAATTACAGAACTGATCCCTTTCGTTTGAACAATTTCACGTAGTTTTAATTTGAATAATTTAGTCCATGCACCTGCAATCTTATTGCAATTGGACTAATTTTATATAATGCCCAAAATTCAAGAGAAAAAATAATATAATTAGAATTATATGAACTAAATTGATATAGGAAACAAATTAGCATGGTTACATAGATGTACCCAATTATTAATTATTTGCCAACTAGCTGTTGTGACTCATGAGCTCATGAATCAAGTATTTAAGAGCAACTCTAAGGGTAAGAGGCAAAATGCCTTATAAAGGTACATAGAAAGTTACTCTTTTTATTTTGCCTAACTAGTTTAGCTAGTGTGTATTCAACTATACTCTTTATTTTAGTTAATCAATCAAATTAACTTAACTAATTTTAATTTTTTTAAATATTATAAACAAAGATAAATGAATAAATAATCTTTTTATGACATGATACGTATCATATTTAAGTTATTTTTAAAATGTATATAATGTATCATATGTATACATTATACATAAGTTATTTTTATGAATATCTTTTTATGTCAACATATGTATACATATGTTGACATGGCATTTATAAATATTTTTAAAAATGTATATAATTAAATTATTTTAAAATATATATTAAATTATTTTTTAAAAAAATATTTTCAAACGATCATATTTTCAAATGGTAATATACAAATATAAAATTAAATCAATTGGATGCAATATACAATACAAAACTAACTAAAAGAAGAGTATTTGATTAGCTGGAGGATGCAATTTCAGCGAGAAATCATTTTGCCTCTCAATGAAGGCTTGCTAGTTGTGGAGAGCCAAAATTAAAATGGACATTGCCTCTTTTGATACAGAGCCCCTTGGAGGAAGAAAAAATCAATTACACTAGCAAAAATGCCTCAGAATGTTCTATTACCCCCTCCCTTAAAAGATACTCTAACTAGCTGAGTCACAGCTCTGTGGAAAGCTGTGGTTTGTTCAAGATATAGTAGGAATGGAGGAGGTTGGGTTCCAGCTTTGAGCCTCTCAAGTGGGATATCCACAGTATGGCTGGACATTGTGAAACTTCTCTCAGTAAACCAACAATTGGGTGAGTTCTATGGTGATCATTTTAGAATTAAGGTTGGAAATGAAGGGAGAATCATGTTCTGGCATGATACATGGCTCAACAATAGAGACCTGTAGGTTCAATTCCCTAGACTATATAGTTTATCCAATGAGAAAGAGGAGACCCTTCAGCAAATCAGTGCCAAGAAGAGTAACTTGGGGCTGTGGCAGCTTAGCTTTAGAAGACAGTTATTTGTTTGGGAAGCTGAGGAGCTGCAGAGATTGATGGGCCTGTTGGAAACATCTACATTGGTTAGCTCTGATTGTGTTGATTCTTGTTCTTGGCTAGCAAATAGTTAAAGTCAGTTTTCAGTATCTTCTGTGAGAAGATGGTGGGATGTTGCAATAAGGACTGGCCAGGTTGTGTCTAAAGGGGTATGGGTTGGTTTAGCTCCGCCAAAAGTGCAGTTTTTTTGCTGGTTGGCTTGGAGAGGCAAAGTTAAGACTTCAACCTTTCTTTAAAGGATTGGGGTGCTACATGAATCAGCAAATAATATGTGTGTGTTTTGCCAAGCTGAGGTGGAATCCTTGAATCACGTGCTCCTGTTTTGTCCACCGATTTGGAAGTGTTGGTCTCAAATAGTA